TTGCTCGAGTTGAAATTAAAGATAATCCGGAGTGGCAATAATTATCCTAATCAAAATATTAATCGTATATGTAGTATGCCCAATATCTTGTTTTTCGATCCACGGGGGCCAGTAGTTCTCCTCTTTTATCGCTAGAACTACGGAGAAAATGTCTCTAAAGTTCATTCACCGAGTCGAGCCACCCGACATAAACAAATTCACGTGGCACTGTTCGGATAAAACAGGGCCGTATTTCTCAGTTATTGTGCCGAACATATTTTTGAGCGAGATTTTCGGATTGGTAATAATTAGACTGCGGATCTTCATGCATTTACGGCTCTTCGCAGATTCTGTGGATCTTTATGCAAATTTTTAACCCTTCGCGCTCGAGTGGTGACTCTGAGGCATCACTAAAATTTGTTATATCACGTTTTAAGATAATTTTTACATTAACAAAATTTTGATTTAAAAGATTGCTAAGAGTGCAATTATTGCGCGAGTCCCACGAGTCAATTTCATACGCGTAAAATGCATTTTGTCACGTGTAATAAAAATACTATAAGCTAGAAAAATGATTTTATATTTAGAGTTAAAATAGCTTCGAGTGCAAAGGTTTAAAATGCAGGGAGACGCCTAAATTGACAAAGTGCGAAAGCATTTTTGATTTCCTTTTATGATGAGCGATCATTTAGTTGACGAAGGAAATTGCTTCGGTTAATGCATCTTGACATTCTGTAGAAAAAGGTATATTCACCTATTTGTGTTAAGAAATCATTAATTTAGGAGATATGTTCATTTTAATGTTGTTATGGCAAATGTTATCAATGCAGAAAGTGTCGTGTAATGTAAATAGTTATCACACACACACACACACACACACACACACACACACACACACACACACACACACACACACACACACACATTGTATTTAGAATATTATCGAGAGTATCACGATTTCTTAACAACATTAAAATTAACGTTTCTCCTGAATTCGTGATTTTATGGTATAGATAGTTTAATACCATTTTGTAAAGAATATCAAATATAAAAAAAAAATAAAGAATATATGAAAAATAATTCGAAATCTCCATTCGATTCAGATTATTGTTGAAATACTATGTTCTTCACCATAATATAATACGGACCTCTGCCCACATGTGTAGCAAAAATACTACGTTAGGGGTGGTTCTTATCGACTCTTTATAACAGTTTTCCAAAATGCTAACAATTAATAAAAAAAAAATAATCCGTGCAAAATTCAAATACTAAAATATTCATAAAGTCGGTTTCGTCGAGTATCTTTTCAATTATTAATTAAATTAGAAAACATGTAACACCCATCTAGAATTTACAAAACTGCAAATATTTTTTGTGGCTTAAATTATGCTTTAGGGTCTTATAAAGAAGGTATGATACATTTTATAACGGGTAGGAGGTTATGTCGCTATCAGACGTTGTAAAAAGAGGCTTGGCTGTCATCGAAATCACAAAGCGAGGGAGACGAGAATAATATCGATGTAGAAGGCCAACTGTATGGTGCAGGAATTGTAGACTAGAGGTAAATAAAACATTTATACGTAATACTGCTGTGTGAAATTTTCAACGCTTATATCTCGAAACTACGTTTTGTATATATATATATATATAAACTGGTTTTGTAAATGGACATAAACCCTGTTGAGAGATAACTCAGAACAGATCTTGACCGATTTACTTGAAATCTTCACCGCAGCTGTAAAATTACATTATCTCGGGGAAGACACAGGAATTTTTAATTACAATGTAAACCTTTTTTGTTATAAATAATTTTTTGCGCCACTTTCTACCACAAATACAAAATCAGACTTTTACCTTGCACCATTCTCACAAAAAACGATATATTTTAATTTCGCTGCGTGATTTCCGAGATAATCTTACGAGAACTAAAAAATGCTTGGTTATTTGTTATAGGTCAAAGATTGGTGGAGAAGCCTTTCCGGCACGCAGAGTACTACTCGTAAGGAGAGGACTTCTTCGCTGCGCTCTGTTCCAACGCCATTTTGTAAAAAAGAATTAAATTAAAAGCCAAATAATTAAACTAAATAATTAAATAAAATACTTACATAAAAAATTGTAACTATTCCTCGAAATACGTATAATAAAGATCTTTAATCAGATTTTGTATTGTATGTACTGGATTGTCATAAAGAATCGTCAAAATTACTCTACTTTAGACTGCTAGAGCGGTGTTACCCTTTAAATACAACTTGTTGACAGACAAGAAAAATATTAATTATGTATATATTATATAATATTATGTATATGTATATATATGTATAAATATAATAAGTATATATACATATATATATATTATGTATATATTAATTATGATTTTCCTCTTAAGTTGTTTCTTATAAAATAATTCATGAAAATGAAGATCGTCATAATGGTCCGCAATCCGGTCACGAAGTTCTGATTACGTAGACGTTGAATTAAAAAAGATCATTGCAAAAAAACGAATGGTGGAGGCTTTCGAGATTTTCTACCCCCTGATAGAACTGTCGTGCGTGTAAAAGCAGTATGCGAGGAATCGATTGTGCAAACAAGACCGGTGAGCACCCTCGTCCCCTTTCTACCGATCTTTCGTTGTATTATACGCTGGGTTCGCGAAAGGTAGAATTTGTGAACAGAACGGGCTATCAGGCCAGCCGTAAAATCATTTTATTGCCATCATCTCATTTCAATAGAACGATGCAACTCTCCATTTACAATCAAGAGGGAAACACTTTAACGCAGCGTGAAATCTTTTGCTGCTGAAAATCTGCTAAGTGAACCATCGTCCATCACTATTTTATTATATCTTATTTTCATACGTTATTTTACAAAACTTGGACATCAAGAAAAATTTCCTTCGTCAACTAAATGATCGCCCATCATGAAAGGAAATCAAAAATGCTTTCGCACTTTGTCAATTTAAACGTCTCCCTGCATTTTAACCCTTTGCACTCGAAGCTATTTTAACTCTAAATATAAAATCATTTTTCTAACTTATAGTATTTCTATTACACGTGACAAAATGCATTTTACGCGCATTAAATTGACTCGTGAGACTCGCGCAATAATTGCACTCTTAGCAATCTTTTAAATCAAAATTTTGTTAATGTAAAAATTATCTTAAAACGTGATATAACAAATTTTAGTGATGCCTCAGAGTCACCACTCGAGCGCGAAGGGTTAAAAATTTGCATAAAGATCCACAGAATCTGCGAAGAGCCGTAAATGCATGAAGATCCGCAGTCTAATTATTACCAATCCGAAAATCTCGCTCAAAAATATGTTCGGCACAATAACTGAGAAATACGGCCCTGTTTTATCGGAACAGTGCCACGTGAATTTGTTTATGTCGGGTGGCTCGACTCGGTGAATGAACTTTAGAGACATTTTCTCCGTAGTTCTAGCGATAAAAGAGGAGAACTACTGGCCCCCGTGGATCGAAAAACAAGATATTGGGCATACTATATATACGATTAATATTTTGATTAGGATAATTATTGCCACTCCGGATTATCTTTAATTTCAACTCGAGCAAGCGATGCATATAAACTATAGTGATTTAGTATACTATTGGGTTGGCAACTAAGTAATTGCCGATTTCAGTTATAGATGTCTCTCACTCCCATTTTTATGATATCCGTAAATGTTATATTATAAAATTATTATTATTATTATTAT